TTGTTTGAAAAGGGGCCGTTACAAGATATTTTTCTTCTTTCTGCTCCTTTTCATTTAATATTGTGTTTGTGTTGTGTTTAAATTTGTTTTAATTAAATGAAATAAATGATATTAAAAAACACTGTCAAAACACAAAAAAACAGACACGGACGACCGTCAGAGCTTCCTGCTTCTAAAGGGTCGAGAATTTTTCAGATCCGACTCATGGTTTTTGCACAGCGACCGTTTGTTTGAGGCTCACTTTTCAGTCCGTTTATCTGCCTGCCTTTAAAGAAGTGTTACCATGTGAGCGCTTCCTTTAATCTCGACTCTCTTCGTGCCTCTCACACGTCGTACATTACATTTTTATTGTTTTAATATAGTTTTGTYAAGTTTTGCGAAGCGACAGAATCGACATAGTAAAAACGTTAAGCTGTATTTTTTAGCTGTATTTTATTTTTAAGCTGTTTTTTTAAGCTGTGTTTTAATGTTTCCCTTGTCCTAAATTGATACGTTCTAATGAGGTATAAAAAGATCAAAAGCTCATTTCCTTCCTCGCTCTGCAGGCTTGTAAAAAATTATTGGTATTTGTTTCTTCAGGGCAGCTCATCGGCCTCCCGGAGGAGCCGTTAAATCATCCTGATGAGCCAAGACGAGCGCTGTAACCCCCCGACCACCTCTCTCTGGCTCCGCCCCTTTTCTCAAAGCCCATCTCTCAGACGTTTGCTAATAAACAGCAGGTCAGCACCTGCAGTGGCAGCTGATTTATTTGACCCTGAGCAGCGATGAGGAGCAGGGGTTGTGTTGGGGGGGGGGGGGACCGGCCCCGCAGGCCTGGAAGTCGACACCACCGCCATAAAACCACTTACGGCTCGCTGTGTTCGGCTCCTCTTTAGCTGTTTTATCCTAAACTGAAAGCTACAAGAGGCAGAAAAAAACTCTGAGTGCTGAGTCAGCAGTTTATCTGTTCATGCCTATTTTCAGTACAGCCACTTCTATGGACTTTGCGCTGTTTTAGCTGTTTTATATCAAAAATATTCGGCTGATTCAGGGGATGGGAATTTTGTTTTTTTGTAACTTTTGGATTTTTCAAAATATTAAACTATTTCAACTAATTTCCTCATTGAAATATATTCATATCTGAAAACCATTATTTGATCTAAAATCAGCTTCTGGCTGTTTTACTCTCCTTTTGCTACTTTTAGCTACTGTTCTAGGCATTTTAGTTACCCTTTTGTTACTTGTAGCTTTGAAATTATTGCTCTTAAATACTGTCAATTGTTTTCTATTTTAGCTTTTAGCTGGCCTTTGGAGCCTTTTGGCTCACATTTTTAGCTTTCTTTTTGGTACTTTTTTATCTATTGTCTTGCTAGTTTCAGCTAAGCGTTCAGTACTTTTAGCTACCTCTGCTTCTTTGAGCTTTTAGTTAACCTTTTGATTTTATTCTTTTTAGCTAATGTTTTGCTTCCTATAGCTAGTGTTCTTCTCTTTTTAACTAGACTTTTGCTTCTTATAACTAGTGTTTTGCTTGTTAGCTAGTGTTGTATGTTTGTTTTGGCTAGTGTATTCCTTGTTTTAGCTAATACTTTGCTTCTTTTAGCTAATGTTTTGCTTCTTATAACTAGTGTTTTGCTCATTTTAGCTAATTCTTTGCTTCCTATAGCTAGTGTTTTGCTCCTTTTAGCTAGTGTTTTGCTTATTTTAGCTAGTGTTTTGCTTATTTTAGCTAGTGTTTTGCTTATTTTAGCTAGTGTTTTGCTTATTTTAGCTAGTGTTTTGCTTCCTATAGC